GTAGCAGCAGGTAAACCATGGCCAGCAACACTAAGGCCATGGTCCCGGTTACATATTGATTATGCGGGACCCTTTATGGGTACAAATTTTTTATCGTCGTAGATGCTCATAGCAAGTAGGTAGAGGTAAAAATAACCAGTACAATAAATGCGATTAGAACAATCGAGTTAATGAGAGAAATATTTGCAACACACGGAATACCAGATACCATTGTGTCCGATAATAGGCGAACGTTTGTGTCAGAAGAATTTGAGAAATATTTAAAACTTAGCGGTATAAAGCACATACGTACGGCACCGTATCATCCATCGTCAAACGGGCAAGCAGAAAGGTTTGTACAAACCATTAAGAATCACCTTAAGAAAATGCAGTCGTCAGACATCAATAAGAATTTGGCAAATATACTTTTGCATCTGCGTACAACTCCTAATGCAAATTCAAATTCGAGTCCAGCAGAAATCTTGATGGGAAGGAAGTTGAAAACATTGTTAGATCATTTGCACCCCAGTGATGACAACACTCAGAAGCAGCTAAATTCTGATGAGTATTCCAAACAAATAAAACCAGTTCGCAGTTTCCAGTGTAGTGAAAGTGTTTGGTACCGAAATTTTGGAAGAGGTGAAAAGTAGATGCCAGGGATTATACAATCAACAGGAGATCGCAACTACAAAATTCAATCAAATAGTAACATATTGTCGAGACATATTGACCAGTTGCATAAGCGAGTTTCGGAGACACCGACAAGTTTAGAATCCAATATAACTCCAGTAGCAGTAACTTCAGTGGCACAACCGGAAGAGCAAGACGACCAAGTAAGTGCAGGTCATTCATCAAATGAATATATCCTACCAGATAGTCAAGTAGAGGGGTCATTAGAAGAAAAAGATAAAAGAGATGAAACATTAAAATCGCGACCGTACCGGCAGAGGCAACCGCCAAAAAAAGGTTACGGGACTATTTGATGGGGGAGGAACTGTAGTATATTCGATCATGGCAACCCTGTATAAAGAAATAGATAAAAAAGGAAAAAATACAAAATGTGTGTTTCGTCGTTGTGCTTAAAGGAGTAAGCGTGCCGTGCCGTAATTATTATTAATATTAAATTGTAAATCTATATAACTTTAATCAATAAAGTATATTATATTATATATAAAGAATATAATAGAAATTAAGGTTTACTTATAAGGTAAAGTTTCATATAAGTAAAGATAAATTAATATATTGAATTAATTTATTATTTTCTAAATTTTTAAATTTTATAATGCACAAAACACAATGAAAATTAGATAAAAAGTGATAATTGCAGTCCATAGTACCAGTAAATATAATATAGAATTACAAACGACTGCTTGCCGTTCTTTGGGCAGGTAACCCCTCTAAACCATGATTGTAACAATACTAACAAATAAGCAATTATCGCCTCTTTAATGTAATCAAACTCAATAAATAAATGCAGTTCAACATTAGAACAACTATAGTTATTATATTATTTATAAAATAAATATATATCAATAATATGTCAATAAGGAAATAATGATAATTTTTTTATTTCCAATTCATTTAAATTTAATAAAAAAATATAACTATAAGTTCTTTAATTTAAAAAATAATAGCATTTTGTATTGATTTAATGAGCTATACACGCTGTAGTATATTCGATTATGGCAACCCTGTATAAAGAAATAGGTAAAAAAGGTAAAATACGAAGTGCGTTGTTGTTCGTCGTTGTAATCAAAAGAGTAAGCGTGCCATGCCGTTTAAACTATTATTATTATTATTAAATTGTAAAATCTATATAAATTTAAATCAATAAAGTATATAACACACGCCAATCCCTATATCATTAATTAAAATTCTGACGGATACTACAGTTTTGTGAAACAATTATATTAAATTTATGAAATTTTCTTCGGAGTCACATAATTGTTTATTATTGTGGTAAAAATGTATTGCGATTGTGATAGTAATATATAATTAATAAATACATCAATTTTGAATTGAATGTTCTAATCTGTAATACGAGGGTGATTTGATAAGTCAGTGGTTTTCTGAATTTCCTGCGCAGTTACTCCAAATGCAACAGTGCTGACGTCAGCTGTAATCTATCAGTGGGCAATTTTGTGAAGCAGACAACCTCGTGAATTTTTACTAAAATGGAAAAAAGTGAATTTCGCCATTTCTTTAGGTTTGGAAACAGAAAATAGTCGCAGGGGGCTAAATCTGGAGTATATGCCAGATGGGGTAGCACTTCGTATCCCAATTCGTGGGTTTTGGCCACAATGCTTAATCAGCACACGAAATTCACTTTTTTCCATTTTCGTAAAAATTCGCGAGATTGTCTTCTTTGAAAGACTACCAGACACCAATTGAACGACGTAGCTTCCACAAAATTAAAAAGTTGCCCACTGGTAGATTACAGCTGATGGCACCACTGTTGCATTTAGAGCAACTACGCGGGAAATTCAAAAAGTCACAGACATATCAAACCGCCCTCGTATAATGAATATTGTATTAGTTTAATATTTTATAAACCAGAGAATATTAGTGATATTAGTAATAAGCAGTATGTCAGTTACTTACCGTTACCTAAGCCCCAATTTGTTGTTGTTGCTTTTCTCTTTTGATATTGTCGGCAATCAAATAATGAAACTAGCGCCTTATGTAAGTGAAGGAAATTTATTTACCCAGCAACACACACACACACACATTGAATAATTTCATCAATTTTTATTACGTTTTATATTCACACATATTTAAATAATTGTTAATTTTATATTGAAAATTAAAATAAATTTAACATATTTTAAATATTTTGAATACTTTTAAATCACACTTGGGCATTGTACAGCTTTTACTTAGAATTTTATATGCGTTGAAAGCACATCAGTTGTTAATTAAAATTGAATCCATTATTTACAAAGTATATTTAATTCAAAATAATTTCACTTTAATATAATGAAATTAAGATTTATTTAAAAACAATTAATATACGATTAATTTTTAATATGCGCGAAAACCTTATCGTTCTTTACATACTAACCGCAATTTCACATCGTTATGACGTTGTTATTATGCCGTTTGTAACAGAGTTGTTAAAAGATATAAGTAAAATTTATGAGAATTTTGTTTGTAGTCATAAAGAATCTAACATATTATCTGATATTTATAATATTTGAGATATTTTCAAAAGTTTATGTTAAAGGTTTCTCCGACATTGAATAATATTCGTTTAATAATAAAATTCATATAAATCAGATAGTACTCAGTGATGTATTAATATGATTTTAAATAAATTACATTATTACATTGTCTTACAATATGTGTATTCTTTTGACACGAATGTTCTAATAGAATATCTTCTGCTTGCTTAAGAATAATTTGGCATCACTTGGCGATTGTAAAAAAAATGTTACCAAAGCGATAAGCGATCCATTGTGAATCTTCATTGGAAATTTCAACTTTCAATTTTCAAACAAAATTCAAAGAAAATTTAAAAAATTTTTTAAATTTGAAAATTGTGGAAATGAAACATTTTAAAAATATATAAAATTGTGGAAATTATTAATTTTTATACAAAGTGTAGTTTGCTTTGCATTATGTGCACATATGTAAGATTCGCTTTTTGCGAAAACATAACATTTGACAGATTGCAACCGTAGTGCCAATATGTTTCTTATACACTTAAAA